GATCATCTAGTCCGACCCCCTGCCATGGCAGGAAAGAGTACTGGGGTCAAACGACCCCAGCAAGGTATATATCCAGCCTCCTCTTAAAGACCCCCAGGGTAGGAGCCAGCACCACTTCGCTTGGTAGTTGGTCCAGATTCTGGCCATCCAGACCGTGAAGTAGCGCCTCCTGATATCTAACCTAAACCTACCCTCTGCCAGCTTGTGACCGTTGTTCCTGGTCACTCCTTGTGGTGCTCGGGGGAACAGGGACTCCCCCAGCGCCTGCTGATCCTCCCTAACCAGTTTATAACAGGCCACAAGATCCTCCCTCAGCCTCCTTGGAGACTTCAATGCAAGAGTTGACTGGGACTTTAATGTGTGGAGGGGTACCACTGGGAAGGAAGAAGTGGGCAAGGCCAATTCCAATGGCATCCTTTTACTCAGTAAATGTACAGAGTTTGACCTTGAGAGCTAATGCCTTCCTGGGCACAGCGCAGTAGGATTAGGAACATCCACTGTTGAACCCACAAAGAGACAACTGATCCAAATTCCTCAGCTTGTAACTGCCTGCCTGCCCAGTGGTGATGTGTAGGGGATGTATGGGGAGGGCTGGTGCACCCCTGACTGGCCGTGGTTGTCCCTTAGGTGAAGTACAGGGGGGTCAGTCAGGAGTGCCCTCCTGCAAGCACCGGCCAAGGAGTGGAGCACCATGGCCCTCCCAGAAGCAGCCGCAGCCACTTCTGGAAGTGGCTGCAGCAATCAGCTACAGCGATTGGCCATAGTGATTGGCTGTCTTGTGATCAGCTGTGGGGGGACCCTCTCCAATTGGCGGGATTGGCTGTGGGTGGGGCATGTGCCCCCCCAACTAAGACGGCACCAGTCGCCCATGTGCCTGCCTTTTACTTCTAGAAACTGCTTCAGGCGCCAGCTTATCTTTCCAAATAAACTTCCCTTCTCAGTACAGATAGCAGGAAAGGTAGGAGTGTATCTGTCCCATTCTCCTGTTGTCAGTATCTCACCTCTGCCAAATTGCTGCATACTCCCCCAAGAGGAGGGCTGAAGTGCAAAGGGTCTATAGATTGCTCCTTCCTTTGTAGGAGATGGGAAAAGAGAAGCCTGCTGCTGTGAATGGACTATGAGTAGCCTCCCTGACCTATTGCAATAGAAAAGGGCCTGATCCTCCCCTCCCCATTGCTGCTACAAACCACAAGGTAGATGGGGGGGAGGGGAAAAGTAGAGCAGAGGACAGGGACACTCCAAGCCCTGTCCCCTGTGCTTAGGACATACTCCCTGTCAGCCAGGCCTGCCCTCACTTGCCCCCTTCCTCTCTCCCTCCCTCTGCAAATAAGTGAGAAGGAACCCCCCCTTCCTACATATACAATACCGAAAGTATTTTTGGTAACATCCAAAGGTCCGAGTGTGGTGAGCAGGGCTGCCAAGCCTCCATAAATTTTACGGCCACCTAATATTTTTGTGGACAAGTATTTCTTAGCTATTTCTTTATGGACTGTCCATACATGTATGAACCATTGGCAACCCTGTGGTAAACTGGAGGCCACAGAATGGCAGAAAAGTGGTGCTTCACTTCTGCTTTACTCGAGCAAGTGCTTGAAGCAGGGAACAATCATGAGTTTGCCAGCTGAATAGAAGCAGAGCAGAGGAGGCAGTGAGTATTCGGGGTGAGAGCCTCATAGATGGGGAAGCTGCACTGTAGCTATATCCTAGCAGCCTGGATGCAATTTAGGTGAGTCATTAAGGTTACTAAAGCTTTGACTAGGGACTGAACCAATTCTAGACCATTCAAAGGTGCTTCCCCTCATCCTCTGGATTTGTTCACTAATATCTTTTATTGGAAAAATTCTGTATCTGGGAGAGATGTTAGATGAGTTGCCGGACACGAACTGCCCTTCCTCAGCGTCACCTGTGACATAGCAATAGAAAGGCACTTTTGATCTCCATCATGTCCAGTCTCCCATATTGAATCCAGCTGGCACATGTTGAGTTGTCAGAGATCCTATTTTGGTGGGGCCAGCTTCCCAGTAATTTATGGCTTCAGTTTATAAATTACACCAAGTTAGATTCTCAGGCACATCAGTAATCTTTATTGGTGAGTTTGATTGAACAAAAGTAAATAGCAGGTGTGTTTGTATTACAGAGCTGCTACTGCCACAGTTTTGCCAGAAGAGCTATACTGGCAGATCTCCCCCTGTGGAGATATGGCATATAGCAGCTGAAGAGTTTTTTTCTGCTAGCCTCATTACATCAACTCCTTGAATAAAATGTTTTTTCTGCCAGATGTTGGCACAGTTGTGTCCAGACAAGGAGCTTTGCTGGCAGAGCTATGTTGACCAGGAGCATAAAAGATCCTTCTTCTCCTCCTTTGCACCCCCAACAAAATTATGCTGGCAAAAGTTTGTAGTGTAGAACATAGGTGTAACTGGGCAGTTCTGTGCAGTGGGTGGTGGTGGCACAAGAGGCAGCCCTCTATTTTTGCAGTCTGCCCTCCCTCCAAGTTGAAGACAGGGGCTGGTTGGTGCCCTGGCTGCCTCCCCTTAGTGACATGACTAGTGTAGATCAAATCTGGAAGCTGGACTCTCCCCAAATAAAGTCAGTGGGAGTCTTGCCTCTGACCTCAGTAGAGGAGCCCTGATCGCCTGATGGAGGACTACCACGCTC